GTCCTCCCTCACGGGGCCGGGCCGTGGCTTCCCCCGCCCGCGGCTTTCCCCGGGCCCCGGCCGGCCCCAGGCACCGGCGTCAGCGCCCGGAACAGGTACCCGAGTGCCAGCGCACGCTCCCCTCGCCACAAAGCACCTTTAAAATGGAATTTAAAATACAGCCCTGCGGGGTTTGCTCGGAGTTCCGGGGTGCTGCGCGCAGAAGAGTTTAACGCCGGGTGCTTCCCAGCTCCGAGGTACCCCTTCCGTGGCCGCGTGCAGATAGAGCCGTTCCTTGGCCGCCTGTGGTGGGTTTTGCAGCCCCGGCCAGCCTGGCCCTAGGCACCCTGCGCTTCACTGCTGCGCAGCCTTGGCGGTAGAGGAGGAGGAGGTGCGAGTTACCTGCTGAGCCGAGCACAGAGCTATGCTGAGGCCGGGCCACCACCTGGAAACCAAAGGACAAGATTTCTAAAACTTTACAGGTATTTCCCCCAAGCCGCTGACTTAATTACTCCAGCTGACCCTCTCCTACCACCACCTCTGCTTCAGGCCAAGCCCTTTGACCAGTCCCAGTAGCATCGAGCTGTAAGGAGCAGCTTGTCCTTCGGGCCAGGTAGGCCCGTAGCGTTAAGCCGGCCCTGAGGCTGCATTTCTACTTACAGCCCTTTCCGGAGCAGAAATCACTTCATACTGGCATTGCTCTGTGTATTTTTCTTCACTGCGTTTTCAGAGCATAGCACGGGGCTGGTGCGTCTTCGCTAGTCTTGCAGATACTCTCTCTGTCAAAAGCTTTCTTAACATCAAGAGAAAAACAGCTTCCACTCGCTTTTCTTTGATCAAAAGCCAAGAGCATTTTGTCAGCCAAGGCAGACAAAGCATTTGTAGCGAAGTGCAAGAGCCTGAAGCTAGATGATTTTACATTTTACAGTTTTATTTTGATGTAAATACAGCATTAGCTCTAGGAAGAGATGGTATATTCTACTCTGCCACCAGCAGCACAGCTGTAAATCTGCACTCTGGAGCGTTATCAGATCGCTGCTCTGATTTCAGAAGGCAGGTCCAAGGATCTGATCTTGATCTCAACACCAGTGTAAACTGAAGCTGTGCCAACGTGTATAATCTGTGGGACTGAGATGAGAATCAGGCCATGGAAAGCCTTCATCTTCGAGAAAAAGACTCTGATTACAGTGAACTCCGGTACAGGCACTCATAGTGGTGCCAAAGCAGCCAAGGGACATTTTTATTTCTTAGAAGGTGAGTTAGTTTGGCACCACTTTTCCTGTTTTGTTTCTATTCACCCCTAATGTCTGTAGGTCTAGAGTAGTTCTATATGATAACAGAGTAGTTCTGAAAATCTATTCCAGACTTCTAGGAACTGCCCACGATGTCAGGGGGTTTATTTTTTTTCCTGCATATGCAAGGGAGCTGTAATTTAAGGATGGGTCTGAATAGCACAGGTATCTGGTAGGATGTGATGTCTCTATAGAGTACAGGCAAGCAAACACACAGTTCTGGGGGCTATTTTGTTCACTTGCAAGGCTAAACCCCACGTCACTGAAGAAAATTAACCGTGGTTATACTGAACATGCCTATTGCTCACTCTGGGTGTTAATTAATTTGATTTTCAAAGCAGTTAAAAGAAGCCTCATGTTCAGAGTGTGCAAAACTACTGGAATATATTTCAGACAGATCCATTTCTTTGGAAAAGGTACATTTAGAAAATAAAGTAGGAAGGAAGGAAACCCAACTTTAGGCTCCTGTGGTTTGCCTACAAGTTTATACTACCAACCAGAAGTGATGGAAGTGTTTAGTTCTTTATAACAGACACACAAGGAGGATTTCTATAATTCACAGCCCTTTTCAAGGTGCTTTCCAACACCACCACTTACCTTTGACACTTTATTCGAAGCAGCTGAAGGCAAACCTGCCTTGTTTTGGTGGAGCAGGTCCATATTCTGGCTCTGCCCCTGTTTCAGGAACCATGCAGGAGCTGGACGTGGAAGAGAAGGCTTGGTGAGGACAGCATCCACGAGCATCCCACGGATCCTAAGGCAGCTGTGGGCCTGGGCGGGGGGGTGGGGAAGAGCCTCACAGATGTGCTGTTTCATCTAACTGGTCTGCTGGGGCACTCGGGACAAACTATGATGCTGGTTTCTGCATCAAATACCTGCAAAATACTGCAGGTATTTCTGCTTTAGTCACCCTCTGCCCAGCCCAGCCCGTGATGACTAGCCACAACAAACTGATGTTATCACTGGAGCTTGCCAGAGCACGTAGAGCATCGTGTTAAAAACCGCCTTCACCGTGGTCTGAAACAAAGTGTACCAACTTACTCCGATGTAAAATTTGAGAATCTTTAAGTATGGAAAAGCAAAGGGACAAAGACATCCGCAGCAGCTGTACAAACCCACACCTCCTGTAACTTGGAGTGCGTGGTGCTCTGTCCCCCACACCAGCAGCACTTGTAACCCGGCACAGGGGAACCTTCTCGCTCGACCGGCACGGTTGGTGCCTGGGCAGACAGGCAGGCCTTGCAGCCTGCCCAAACCCAGCTGTTGTTACTATATACGGGTAAATCCTGGCCTGCCCCTTTCACCCATAGGAATCCTGAAGCCCCTATAAACAGTGCGGAAGAGACACCTATTCACCGCCCCAAGTCACAGGAAATTGTTTGCATCCTGTGGGCACACACAGCTCCAGGGAACAAGGGAAACCTGTGAAGCATGGCCCAGGTAGATGCTTCACCAGATCTGAGGGTAATCCCCAGCTACCTGGGGCTGTAGCAGCAGGCTCTTCCCCACAGTTATTTCTTACAGGTATAGAGGGAGGATTTCTGTAACTCACAGTTCTTTCAACATGCTTTCAAAGCCCAACACTTGTCTTTGCCATCGCAGCAGCAGACCTCCACCCCCAGGTAACTATCAGCTGGTGTTGAACAATCCTCTAGTCCTTTTCCTCACTGCTAACTCGCATGAGCAACATGATTTATTACTATTATACACATTGTGATACTACATGTGTTACACTGAGTTAGTCTCCCCGCACCATCGATGTGGGGCACACCCCGATTTAAAGCAGGCTGCAGAAGTCAGCCTTGGCTATCAGGAGTGGTGGTCTAATAAGGAAAGTGCCAATTCCTAGAGGGGATGGAGGAAAAAGACCAAGGGATACCCCTGTCCTTCCAGCTCAGAGTGGAGTTGGACACTGACTGTTGTCACGAGCACTGCCATGTGCCCTACCAAGGGCTCTGCTGGGTAAGATCAGATATTTACTTTGGTCTGAGAAACTGCAAAAAGGAAGAATGCATGAGCCTCTGTGAAAAGCTCAGCAAGAGAAAGGAGGTTTCTGTGAAGAACAACAGTTTGAGCTGATGCCAACTTTCCAAACAAGCAATGGGACAGCAACTCCCAACACAGGCAAACAAGACCCTTTGGGTCTGAGCAGCTCTGGGACAGAAAGTGAAACAAGCAGAGGAAGATGATGTGATGTTGTGGCTGCATGTCTAGAGGTTATCCAGTAATTTAGTATAATAAAGCCTCTTAACCAAGTGGAAAAGTGTAGAAGCCATTTCACAGGCAGCTCGCTATGCAAGGCAGAGTTTCTTATCTCTAGGAAAAAAAAAAAAAAGTCTTCTTAAAGTCAAACGTACTGGATGAATATGCTAAATAATGCAGAGGAGATTGTTGTGATAGGCTCAGTCCACCTCCCTCATAACAAAAATCACTATTTCAAAGAAAATGTAGTGCTGACAGATCTGCTTATCTTGCAACTGCAAATTAATTGATATGCAGTTGGCTGAACTTGCAGAGACCTTGCACTGAGCTTAGTTTTCCCTGCTCCGTTGCGCGTAGCTGTGAAATTGCTTTTGAACTGAGCCCTTTCTGGAGTTGTGGTTCCTCTGTGCAAGGGAAACAACCACGCGCCCACAGGGTCAGTAGAAGCCATAACAGCTCGTCCCACTGTGGCTGTGCCCAGCATGCCGGCCCGGGGCTGGGATGTCGATGCACAGAAGGAGGAGGGTCCCTGGGGATGGCAGGGACAGTGCGCTGGCAGAGGCTGCGTGGCTATACATTCCCTCTGGGGCTACACACACCAGAGGAGCTGTTGCACACTGGAATACGCTCCAGCTGGGCAGGAGGTCAGAGGAAGTTCAGGAATCCCGCAGACGCCAGCACCACAGGGCCGGTATTTGGGTAATGGTCTCCATGAGCCAGAGCTTTCCTGGTGCTGCCACGGGCGGCTGCTCACAGGTTTTTCCCAAAAAGACCAGGTCAATGTGCAGAAACAGTTTCCAGGCTGAGCATCTTAAATTTTAAAAGTCAGTAACAACCACACCTCCCTTCTTCTACCCTTTATCCTCCACAAACCCACTGACCAATCTCTAATCCCTTTCAGCCCAGGGCTACCAGATTCGCACACACACACTGGTGTTGGCAGCCAGCTGGGGTTTTACCATCAGTTTTCAATATGAACACACATTAAATCCAACACAGCTATGAAACCTGTGTTGCAAGAGAGTCTCAAAGTCTCTTAGCTCATTCTAGGTATATCTGCTGCTCTTTACAACAAGGCTCCCGAGTGGCTCTTGCGGGGCTGTAATGAAGTTGTGAGCCCCGTGGGTCCCTTCTGGGGACCACCACCAGCCTTGTTATCCCCTCACACACTTAAATAACACAGGAGGTTCAGGGCAGTCACTGTGAACTGTGCGAGCAGAAACCCACTTCCCATGTGTGGCCAGGATGCTGCTGCGCCAGGACGGAACCATGGAAATTGCTGCAGGGTTTGTGCTTTGCCACATCCCAAAGAGTTGGCTGGGCTGGATTAGCCAGCCCGCATGAGCATGCTAGACCAGACTTTGTTTCCAGTAGGAAAATAATTTCGGAAGGATTGACCGTCTCATGAAAACACGTTGTTCTCATTGATGCAAGTGTGATAGATGGTTAGAACTCCTCCTTCATTACGAGT